TCCTGCCATAGATGATGGGGACGATCCAGCAGCTCTGAAGGACCCCCTACTTGGGAAAAAGGGCCCATCACCCAAAGAGAACGGAGACACATGATTAGATTCTCCAAGACCTTCTCTTTGTCTGTCTGTCTCTTCCTCTTTTCTCCATTCAGTGTCCACCTTCTTCTCTTCCTGCTATAATCGCCAAGGCATTTGGAAGTCGTCGGGCTTCAGAAGAGACCAGTGGGTGGCCTCCACGTTCTTCAGATGCTTCTTGGCCAAGAACACGGCCAACTGTTGTTTCTCCCTGCACTGGCTGTACTTCCCAACCTGCCACGGGAAGTAGTCCTTCATCCCCAGGCTGGACTTGTAACTCTGAAGCTCCTTCGTGCACCAATCGTCATTCACTTGGTAGCGACGGTAAAGGGCTGCTTCCTGCTTGGCGTTGAAGGCTCTCAGCCAGTCGTGGACCGCTTCCTGTCCTTCCTGGGACATGACACACGGGTAACGATGCTCCAGCAACTGGATCAGGAGCTCGTTGGCCCTGTTGCATCGGAGGTTGGCTATCTGGTCCTCCAGACCCACCGGGCAGGTGCTGATGACCTCATCCTTGGTCCTGCGAATGAGCAAGACGGGGCCACAGTACTTGCACAGCTGTTCCCCTACGTTGAGGTTGAAGTGTTCCTTCACCGTCCGGACCACCAGCTTATTCCAACTCTTGGGCATGACGTTCAAAGCCAAGGGGAGCAGATCGTCAAAGGTGGCATCTAGAACCAATGCGCCCAGCGTTGGGTAGGACATGGCAGCGCAGGTGGCAGAATATCCCCCCAAGGACCACCCGTACATCACAATGTCCACCACCTGGAAGCCCAGACGGAGCATGGCGTACCTCATCACCACGTCCACCGCGTTGGCATCGTTCTTCGGGTACGGTTGGCCGGTGCTTCCGGCAAAGCCAGGGTGGTTCCATCCCAACACCGAGTAGCCTGTCCTCAAGGGAGTGAACAGGCAGCCCCACTGATAAAAACTGACGTTCCCCTCGCAGCAGATCACGAGGCGGTTCCCCCGTTCTGTTCCGGGGACGTTCAACTTGGTTCTCCTGTCCACAAACATGGTGTCGATCTTATTCCCATCCCGGGCTACCAGCTTCGCCCGTCTCCCATTATACTCTTGCAAGAGACGAGTCTGACCCTTGGCCAGGATCGGGAGCAGGGCTTGGTTCAAAAGGAAGACCGATCCTGGATACAGCAACCACCGGCCTAAGGAGTGAGCCATGATGTAGCTGGCAACTCGACTGGGCAACTGTTTTAGACTGCTGATCAGGTTCCATTGGCTACTCCGATGTCCATAAGGCCCCACCTCAAATGCCAGTTCTGGGGGACAAGCTCCTGGCACAGCCTTGAGGATAGGGTGCCTACGGGATTTGCCATTGTCGCTGTGACCTGCTGAGAAGCCGCTGCCTCCTGCGTCGTCCCATCGAAATTCCACTGGCCAGTTAGCAAAATCAAAGTGATAACTAGCCGTAAAATAGACCTTAAAAACTCGGGCTAGAGCTTTGGGAAAACAGAAGACACACATAGGGAGACGATGCTTATTCTCTAGGAGCTGCATAAAGTAATTTTTAAAAAAAAAATGGAGGGGGGCAAGGCAAGGACCCCCACCTGGATATTTCTGATGTCTCAGAAGTAAGACCTTCTTGGCTGGACCACTTCCTTCATAGCTGCATGGTGCTGGCTTTAGAAGGACATCTCTGTGGCCTTGTTGAACCCATGCCCAGGCTGGTCCAAGGGTGCTTCAGCATCCCCTCCCACAAGAACAAGGTAATAATGGGTGACATAGCCCCCTTTGTGAGCTCAAACAGCTCCCAAATCAAGCAAGGGCCACTGCTTGAGCAGGGCTGAAGGAGCTTTGTTTACAGAAGGTCCAGAGGACCATGATGGATGGTGGTGGAGGAGAATGTCCTCCAGGCATAGAATAGATTCAACCTGTCTCAGTTGTAATAACTGCAAGAGGAATCTCGGAGTCCTAGTGGACAATCACTTAAATAGGAGCCAGCCATGTGCTGCAGCTGCCCAAAAAACCAACACAGTGCTAGGCTGCATTAACAGAGGGATAGAATACAGATCATGTGAAGTGTTAATACCGCTTTACAATGCCTTGGTAAGGCCACACTTGGAATACTGCATCCAGTTTTGGTCACCATGATATAAAAAAGATGTTGAGACTCTAGAAAGAGTACAGAGAAGAGCAACAAATATGATCAGAGGACTGGAGGCTAAAACATATGAAGAACAGTTGCTGGAATTGGGTATGTCTAGTTTAATGAAAAGAAGGTGACATGATAAGCATCTTCCAATATCTCAGGGCTGCCACAACGGTATTCTCCAAAGCACCAGAAGGCAGGACAAGAAGCAATGGATGGAAACTTTTCAAGGAGAGAACCAACCTAGAACTAAGGAGAAATTTCCTGACAGGGAGAACATATAATCGGCGGAACAAATTTCTTTCAGAAGTTGTGGGTTCTCCAACACTGGAGGTTTTTAAGAAGAGATTGGATAACCATTTGTCTGAGCAGGGGGTTGGACTAGAAGACCTCCAAGTTCACTTCCAGTCCTGTTATTTGCTATTCTGTTATTTTGCCTGGAAGGTTGGCACTGGGCAAAACGCCAACCCGGCGTATCTTTCTCATTGATCTCTAGGATTGAAGAAACGAGGCTTGGACGGCTGGTGGGACGGTCGCAGTTTCCTACTCAGAGATCAAAGGGGATCGACCTGCAGCCTTTACACCGATCCCAATTCCTTGACAATAAAACCAGTTCAGAGGTCTTGTATGTTTGGAGAACTAAAAAAGGATTAAGTGGAATGGAAGGAGATCTGGGGGGGGAGAGGTTGCTTTTTGGAAATATCTAGGTCAGGGATAGGCAACCTTGGCTCTTTTATGACTGGTGGACTTCAACTCCCAGAATTCCTGAGCCAGCATGGCTCAGCTTGGAAACATTCCCCTCAGCGTGGCTGGCTCAGGAATTCTGGGAGTTGGTCCATGAGTCATACATACACAGGTAAAAAAAGGATATGTGCAGTGTTATCTTCATTTTAGATGTCAAAAGGGTCTCTCTCTCTCTGTATCTCTCTCTCTCCCTCCCTCTCTATCTGCCCTTGGTCTGCCACTCCTCTTCCCCCACTCTCTTTCTCTCTCTCTCTTTCCTCTCTCTCTCTCTCTCCCTCCCTCCCTCTCTTTCTCTCTCTCTTTCTCTCCCCCCCCACCTATCTGTTGCTCACCTGGCAAGCTTCAAGCTGTTGACCAACAAGCTCAGGGGTAGGCAACCTCATCTCTTTTATGATTCATGGACCAACTCCCAGAATTCCTGAGTCAGCCTACACATACACAGAGAGAGAGAGAGAGAGAGAGAGAGAGAGGCAGGGAAGCGCAATTCCTCTCTCTGTCTCTGTCTCTCTCTGCAAAGGCAGAGGAGGCTGGGAGCCGCAGGGGAAGGCTCAAAGAGCCACATGTGGCTCCGGAGCCGCAGGTTGCTGACCTGTGACTTATGATGACACTTAATAGACCTTTGAAGTTCCGAGGGATTCCATGGGGTTACTTATGACTCGCTTCCCAAGTCCCAATGGTCACCCTGTCACTCACCACCTTAGTTTACAAGTGTGTGTGTATGTGTGTGTTTGCTTTAAGCACCCCTAAGAAAACAATGCTAAGGAGTCCTGAGCTTGGTTGTTTTCTTGCAGATGTTTCATTACCCAAACTAGATAACATCATCAGTGTTAGAAGGGGAGTATGGGGTGTGGAGAGGAGGAGGAGGAGGAGGAGGACTGTGGGATCCTTGGTGCTCTCTTAGTTTGGTGGTTTTCTTGTAGACGTTTACTTACCCAACTAGGTAACATCATCAGTGCTACAAGAGAGTGGAGTTTGTGGAAAGGAGGAGGAGGAGAAAGAAGAACAGGAAGAAGAAGAAGACGAAGAAGAAGAAGAAGAAGAAGAAGAAGAGAAGGAGGAGGAGGAGGAGGAGGAGGAGGAGGAGGAGGAGGAGGAGGAGAGGAGGACTGTGGGATCTGGTGCTCTCTTAGTTTGGTGGTTTTCTTGTAGACGTTTACTTACCCAACTAGGTAACATCATCAGTGCTACAAGAGAGTGGAGTTTGTGGAAAGGAGGAGGAGGAGAAAGAAGAACAGGAAGAAGAAGAAGAAGAAGAAGAAGAAGAAGAAGAAGAAGAAGAAGAAGAAGAAGAAAAGAAGAGGAGGAGGAGGAGGAGGAGGAGGAGGAGGAGGAGGAGGAGGAGGAGGAGGAGGACTGTGGGATCCTTGGTGCTCTCTTAGTTTGGTGGTTTTCTTGTAGACGTTTACTTACCCAACTAGGTAACATCATCAGGCTACAAGAGAGTGGAGTTTGTGGAAAGGAGGAGGAGGAGAAAGAAGAACAGGAGAAGAAGAAGAAGAAGAAGAAGAAGAAGAGAAGAAGAGAAGAGGAGGAGGAGGAGGAGGAGGAGGAGGAGGAGGAGGAGGAGGAGGAGGAGGACTGTGGGATCCTTGGTGCTCTCTTAGTTTGGTGGTTTTCTTGTAGACGTTTACTTACCCAACTAGGTAACATCATCAGTGGAGAGAGTGGAGTTTGTGGAAAGGAGGATGAGGAGGAGGAGGAAGAAGAAGAAGAAGAAGAAGAAGAAGAAGAAGAAGAAGAAGAAGAAGAAGAAGAAGAAGAAGAAGAAGAAGAAGAAGAAGAAGAGGAGGAGGAGGAGGAGGAGGAGGAGGAGGAGGAAGGAGGAGGAGGAGGAAGAAGGAGGAGGAGGGAGGGAGGAGGAGGAAGGAGGGGAGAGGAGGAGGAGGAGGAGGAAGAAGAAGAAGAAGAAGAAGAAGAAGAAGAAGAGGAGGAGGAGGAGGAGGAGGGAGGGAGGGAGGGAGGAAGAGGAGTGTGGAGTCTTTGGTTGCTCTCTGAGCTTGGTGGCTTACTTGCAGACGTTTCATTACCAAACTAGGTAACAGCATCAGCACTAACTAGCGCTAGCAACGATGATGTTACCTAGTTTGACTCGTGAAACGTCTGCAGGGAAGCCACCAAGCTCAGAGAGCGACCAAGGGCCGCTCATTTCAATCCCAGGCTACGAATAGTCTCCTTTATTGACGAGCAACACTAAGTTGTGCAGGAAAGTTCCCCAATTAGTTTTACACCAAGGCAAAGGAAGATTGCCCAAAAAGAATGAAGAGGGAGGAAACGCAACCAATTCAAGGCTCAGAGCGGCTGGAATTTGGGGGGCTACCGATGTTTTTTTTTGTTTTTTGTCCCACAAAGTTCTGAGGAAGATGAAGAACGTTCAAGAAAGCGAATGGGCTCTGTCTGTTTCAAAGCATGGAAAGGATCACCGCGTCGTAAGAGCTCCTGTATTTTCACACGATTCCTAAATTCCAACAGGGGCGTTTTTGCTCCACAACGGAGCCCCAAATTTCAGTTGGTAAGTGAGACAGTCGTTGTGAGTTTTGCCCCACTTCTCCTTGCATAGTTGTTATCCCTTCAGTTATTAAGTTAGCAACACAATTGTGAAGAGAATCCAGCTTCCCCATTGACTTTGCTTGTCTGAAGGGGATCACGTGACCCCGGGGGACACTGCAACCATCTTAAGTACATGCCAGTTGCCAAGTGTTTGAATTTTGATCAGCTGACCATGGAGATGCTGCAACGGTTGTATGTGTGAAAAAGTGCAGTGATTCACTTAACAACCGGGGCAAGAAATGTTGCAATACGGAGCAGAGCTCTCTTAACAACTGTCTCATTTATCAAGGGAAATGTTGGGCTCAGCTGTAGTCGTAAGTCAAGGATTAGCTGTGCTAAAGCTGCATTTTCTCAATGTGCTTCACCTGATTATGAAGTGACTCCATTGGCTGAGTTTAGACAAAATAATGAATCATAAAGCAAAAACCACCGTCGCCCCAACCAGCCAAGCTTATCGTTAACCAGGTTTGGTGCACATGACATCAGTAGATCTTTACCTGTCATGGTTAAATCTCCTGGGTGGACCCAGCCAGTCCATTCCTCAGCTCTTTGAGAAGCAGAACGTTGATTTCCTGTCCACCTTTGAGTCATACGCTCTTCATCCTTAGACAAACATCTCAGAGCAACAATAGACAATGATGTATCCTAGCTTTTATTTCTCTCTCTTACTCTTCTATCAAACCACCATCTGCCAGCCTAGCTAGAGCTTCCAGGGCAGCTCAAATTCTTCCGGGGGTAAAGTTTTCCCGTGGGTGATCTCCACATTCTTCAGATGTTTCTTGGCCAGGAACAAAGCCAGGTGCTTCTTCCTGGCCGACGTTAAGTCACTCCCGACTTTCCACGGGAATTCAGCCTTACTTCCAAGGATGGACTGATAGGTCTTCAGTTGATCGAGACACCAGTTGTCATCAACCCGGTAGAAGTGGTAGTAGATGAAGTGTTCCACGCGAGGGCAGTCGGCAGTGAGCAATTGGTGGACCACGTCCTCCACCCCAGAGATGATGTTAGGATAACGGCATCTTAAGATCTGCAGGAGTAGCTCATTGGCACGATTGGTCTGGATCATGGGAAGGTGGTTCTCCAGGTGGAACTGGGTGCTGGTGATTTCATCAAAAGTCCTCCTGATGAGGAGCACCGGCCCTTGATAGCGGTGCAGCATATCCGCCACGTTGAGGTTAAAGTGCTCGTTGATCGTCCGGATCACCAGCTTCCTCACCTGCTTAGCTACCATCTTGGCGGCCAAAGGGAGCAAGCTATCAAAGGAGGCATCGAGAACCAGGGCTCCCAACTCTGGGTAAGCCATGGCAGCCCAGGTAGCGGTGTAGCTTCCCAAGGAGTAACCATAGATAGCAATATCCCCCAGATTGAAATTCAGACGGTGCACGGCGTACCGGATGACCACGTCCATGGCGTTGATGTCGTTCTGGGGATACGGCTTTCCTGAGCTCCTGGCAAAGCCAGGATGGTTCCATCCCAGGACGGAATACCCAGCCTTCAACGGGGTGATGAAGCACCCCACTTCGTAAAAGCTGCCGTTCCCTTCGCAGCTTATCACCAGCTGCATTCCCAGCTTCCCAGAGTTATTTCCTCGCCGGTCCACAAACATGGTGTCAATCTTGTTCCCATCGCAAGCCACCAGCTTGGCCCGCTTCCCATGAAAGTCCTCCATCAGGCGGGTCCTCCCATTCAGCAGCAGCTTCAGCGGGACTTTGTTCAAGAGATCGACAGAACCAGGATAAAGCAGCCAGCGGCCGACAGTGTGAGCCAAGGTGTACCTGATGCAGGCGCCGGACGCCCGCTTCATTTTGTGGAGGATGCTAATTTTGACCTTCTTCGCCTCTCCATCCTGGACAGCTGTGGCCACACCTGGCAGAGAGCTCCTGTGACTGCTGTTTTTCTCCTCACTGCTGGTACTTTTTCTGTCCTCATCCCAGGAATATTCAACCGGCCATTTCTTGAAGCAATAGCTGTCCTTGATCTTCAGGCACGTCCCCATTTTGAAACACATGGCTGAACTCTTGAGTGAGGTCACCTGAAATGTAGGAGATAAATGAAAGGAAGTTGGCAGGAGAGAAGGAGGAATGGCCACCAAGTCTGGTCTGGACACAAGACTGGAAGTGAGCAATTTCCTCCGGATTTGGCTCCAAAGGAGAGGTGACTCCTGAGCTGTGTTAGAACATCTTGAGGTCACCCAGTTGGTGCTCTACAAAAGGAGGATGGTACCATGCAAAGGGCAGAGGACATTTCCTTTGAGAGTCCTCCTGGTCAGGGAGAGGTAATAATTAGCCAGGGCAACCTCCCTTTGTGAGCAATTTCTCCTCTGAGGACTTGGCTGAGGGAGCCATGAGGTCCACCTAAAAGCTACCCCAGATGCAATGTCTCTCTCTTGTGACCCTAGATGGGAAGAAGATCTCCTGCCAGTTTTGCTAAAGACGTCTTTGTGGCCCCCACCAAACAGTATTTGTTCTTACAATCAAGAAGTACTGAACTTTGTAATAAGAGAAAAATTGGTACTAATCAATGACTTACTAGACTAAGAAACAGAATATATCTGGAAATGTTAGAATGTTATTGTTGGAATGTTATGTGTATTTTAGAAGAGGTACCCGAAGTGCTAATAATATGTTTCTTCAAGATTAAATTGGATTATGGTAATTCTAAATCAGTAAAGCTTAAAAACAGGATTTGGATCTCTATAGATGTAATGTAGAAATGGATTCATCTAAATATGTTATACTATTTGAGGGAAACAGAGAGGGAACATTTAATGAATTAATTTTATATAAGGAGCACGAAGCTGAAAACACCAGCCTGAAGATGACGCTTGGGACTTCGTCGAAACGTTGCCAAGACACTTCCAATTTTATGCGGGAGAAAACCTGAACAACCAAAGACCTACATACAAACACCCGCGAAAACCTCAAAAACATATATATATATATATTACTTTGAGTTATATATACCGTATATTCCGGCATATAAGGCGACCCGGAGTATAAGACAACCCCCGTCTTCGGCGCCGAGTCGCATGCCTAGAAAGTCGTCTTCTATGCCGGAAACGACCGTAATTTCCGGCGTATAAGACAACTCGGCGTATAAGACAACCCCCAACTTTGGCGCCAATTTTACCGCTTGCGAAAGTCGTCTTATACGCCAGAAAGTACGGTATATATTACTTTGTCTTTGGATGATTGATTACCCCATCACCACGGTGTTTCTCAAGCATTTTGATGTAAAAGTTAAAAAACCAATAAAACTTGTTTTTTTTTAAAAAAAAGAAGTACTGAACTTCTCAAGAACTTTGGTTCACCACAGATGGTTGGTCACATCCTTGGCTTCTTCAGGTTCTGACTGGATGTAGGGAATGGATACAAATGCAAATGGCCAGCTGTCTGCAAGGAGTATAAATCCTTCCCTTCCCCACTATTCAGTCAGAACCTGAAGAAGCTTCTGGGATGAGAAGCGAAATGTCTTCAAAGGAAAAACAAAGTCTGGTTGCCTCGTGGAAAAGCCCCTTTGGGACAACCAGGACTTGGATGGCGGAGAATCTCCACAGACATTTAACAAACTGAGGAATTTACCCAGATACTTTTCTTGCTCTTCCTTTTGCGATCCTTAAGATTTGCTCTGTTTGACATCTTTTCCTGCTCCCCAAATGCTTGCTGCTGCCTTCACTCTCATCCCTTCCTTTCTTCTGAGCTCATTCCTGGGGTGATTCTGGGTTTTCTCTAGAGAGTTGGGGCCAAACCATGCAGGGCAAAGCTAGAGCTGCTGGATGGTGGTGCAGCAAAGTAGGTGACCACTAGATGGCGCCAGAGAATGGGTTTATTATATGTCATCAAATCGTTTCCCACTCTTATGAGGGGAGAGATAGATAGATAGATAGATAGATAGATAGATAGATAGATAGATAGATAGATAGATAGATAGATAGATAGATAGATAGATAGATAGATAGATAGATAGATAGATAGATAGATAGACAGATCATAGATAGAAGATAGATGATAGGTAGATAGAGATAGATTAGATAGAGAGATAGAGAATCATAGATCATAGATAGAAGATAATAGATAATAGATAGTTAGAGAGAGATTAGATAGATTAGACAGACAGACAGACAGACAGATAGATAGATAGATAGATAGATAGATGATATATATATATATCATCTATCTATCTATATCTATCTAGCTATCTATCTATCTAATAGATAGAAGATAGATAATAGATAGTTAAAGAGATTAGAGAGATTAGATAGATGATAGATAGATAGATAGATAGAAATAGAGATAGATAAAAAGATAGAAAGATAGAAAGAGAAATAGATAGATAAAAATATAGATAGATAGTTTAGATTAGATAGAGATAGAGAAATAATAGATCGATGATAGATGATAGAGAGAGGAGAGAGAGAGAGAGAGAAAGATGGAGGGACATGGAGACGGAGGAGGAGAAGGAGAAGGAAGGAGAAAGAGGAGAATAAGAAGGAGGAGAAAGAAGGGAGAAGGAGAAACACATAATCTGAAGACCTTCAATATATCATGTCATGAAATTCACCCAACGTCCTTAATCTGATTACTAAATTAACCCACTTCCTCAACAGCCTCAACACATTGAACTATCCACTAACCCAGTGATGGCGAACCTTTCAGAGACCGAGTGCCCAAACCGCAACCCAAAACCCACTTATTTATCGCCGGGTGCCAGGTGGGTGTGGCCCGCTGGGTGGGCGTGGCTGTGGTGGTCATGGCAGACCGGGTGGGTGGGTGTGGCCAAGGTGGGCGTGATCACCTCAATGTGGCTCATGGGAGGGACGCCTATGGGGGCCGGGCAGGGTGGGGGGAGATCCAGGGGGTCTCTGGCAGGTGGGGCAATGGGCAGGAGGCTCGTCCTGTGGGCTGAGGCAAGGCGAGGCAAGGCGGGGGTGCCATTGTCACAGGGCAAGGTGAGGCAGGGGCTGGGGCAGTGACTGCCTGACACCATCAACCCCTGCACACAGAGGCCAGTGAGCGCATGGGTACTGGGGTACATCCGGCCGTGTGGGACTTCAGCAAGTTAGCAGGCAGCTGGTTTTAAGAGGGACAGTTGCCATCTCCAGGGCATGGCCTATGTGCCCACAGAGAGGGTTCTGAGTGCCGCCTCTGGCACGCGTGCCATAGGTTCGCCACCACTGCACTAACCAAAGGGGTTAACATTTGGATTTTCTGTTATCTTTGGCTGGAAGGGGGTGGGGTGGGATGGGGTGGGGCAAAGATTTTGCAAGAGTGAAGTCCAAGCTGCTGTGAGGGTCACTGAGAGGAAACGTGTCTGCAAAGCCAGCAAAATCCTGACACCCAATGGCTAGAGCCATTTTCCCCTTTGAGAAGTTATACTTCTACATTTAGCGAAAGAAAGAAAAAAAAAGTTTAAAATTAAAAAAAAATAGCTAATTACAAATAACCAAGCAAATGCACTCACTTCCACAAGAGTTAATCAATGACCAACAATAAAAATGAACATGGAAAGCAGCCAAGAGATCGAGTGAGACCCCTGAGGATCATCTAGCTGACCTTGGCTGATCTTTAGAAAGCTAACCAGGATCAGCTCAGTTTAAAGTTTGGGTGGGAAATGATCAGTGTGTAGACTAGACTGGGATTGAGGGGGAAATCTTAGATCAGTGCTTCCTGACAGAACAATTAACCGGTGGAACAACCTGCCTCCAGAAGCGGTGAATGCTCCAACACTGGAAGTTTTTAAGAAGAGACTGGACAGCCATTTGTCTGAAACGGTATAGGTCAGTGGTGGCGAACCTATGGCACAGGTGCCAGAGGCGGCACTCAGAGCCCTCTCTGTGGGCACGCGCGCCGTCGCCCCAGTCCTGGGCCTTCAGCTGGGTTTTATAAAACCTTTTCGCTTTAGGCCTCCGCCGCCATGTGCCAAAAAAAAAAAAAAAAAAGGTTCAGTCAATCAGTCAATTTCAACTTCTCACGGGAAAAAAGGATCTTGGAAAGTTGGAATTGATTGATTGAACTTTTTAGTCCCACCCAGTCTGCCGTGACCACCGCGGCCATGCCCACTCAATGGGCCATGCCCACCCAATGGGCCACGCCCACCCAATGGGCCACACCCACCCGGCACCCAACGATGCATAAGTGGGTTTTGGGTTGCAGTTTGGGCACTCGGTCTCTAAAAGGTTCGCCATCACTGGTATAGGGTCTCCTGCCTGAGCAGGGGGTTGGACTAGATGACCTCCAAGGTCCCTTCCAACTTTATTATTATTATCACACGCAGGCAGCAATTAGGGAGCACAGCTGAGGCCCTGTTTTCTGCCCTTCCTCCAATCGTCTTTCTTTCCCTTTCCTCCTTCCACCCCAGTAATACTAAGGTGACCAACTTTTTTACAACAAAAAGGAGGACACAAATAAATTGAAGAAAAAAAATATCGTAAATAAAAGAAACATTGTGTTTATTGCAACAATAATACAGAACACACTATAATATGATAAATGCATAATAAAAAACATTTGTAACAATAACATTTTATATTGTAATTATGCTTACATGCCTATTAATTATTTAAATGAGTATTTTTCCATTGAATGAATATTTTTTGTCAATGTATCATCTTCTAACAATATATTGGAAATATCTGAACAAGAAATATCCTTCATATTGAATTTTACGGCAAGTGCTGCAGCTAGAGTATCAACATTCAATCTCGATTTCTCACTTGTCCAAAAATCTACACGGCTGGACTGCGCGGGGGTGGGCGGCGGAGGCAGGTGTTGTGAGCCAGGTGCTCCAGGATGGCCACGTAGGTGAGGCGGTGGCAGCGCAGGTCAGCACTGCGTAGACCACCAGCTGGCGTGGCCCATGGAAGGTCAACTGCCTGCCGTGCCCCCACCCACAGCCGCCCCGCCAGCACCGCTGCCCTGCCGTGGAGAGCCGGCCCCGCGGCTCGCAAAGCACCAGCCGAGCCAGCTCCGGCCCTGCAACCGCCCCCCAGCACCACTGCCCACCCTGTGCATCCCCGTAGAGCCGGCCCCGCGGCTCGCAAAGCACCAGCCGTGCTGGCTCCGGCCCTGCAGCCACCCCCCAGCACCACCGCCTACCCTGTTCATCCCCGTGTAGAACCGAACAGGGAAGATCAAGAGAAACTTACCACTCCAGTCTCCTCCAGCTATCTGCGGAACTAAGTAGGAGATGGTGTAGTTGGGTAGCAGTGAGGGGTGCAAAGTTTCTGCAACTTGCACGTGCAAAGTTTGTCACCTGGGCATTTTGGCACACTCAGCAGCAATTCCTATTGGCTTTCAAAAGCCAATAGGGGGAGTAGCACAGCTCAGG